CACTGAGCCTGGCCATGTGTAGTTTTTTTAATCTCTGGCCTCCTTCCTACCAGCCCCCTTTTGAGTGTCTAAAGTCCATTATATCACTCTGTATGCCTCTGTGTACTCACAGCTTAGCTCCCACTTATAAGTGATAACGTACAGTTTTTGGTTTTCCACTCCTGCATTACCTCTGTCAGTGAACACTTTAAAAAGTTACTGTGATCTGCAAACAGGGACAATTTGACTTCTTTTCCTAACTGAATACCCTTTATTTCCTTCTCGTGCCTGATTGCCCTAGCCAGAACTTCCAACACTATGTTGACTAGGAGTGGTGAGAGAGGGCACCCCTGTCTTGTGCCAGTTTTCAAAGGGAATTTTTCCAGTTTTTGCCCATTCAATATGATATTGGCTGTGGGTTTGTCATAAATAGCTCTTATTATTTTGAGATACGTTCTATCAATACCGAATTTATTGAGAGTTTTTAGCATGAAGGGCTGTTGAATTTTCTCAAAGGCCTTTTCTGCGTATATTGAGATAATCATGCGGTTTTTGTCTTTGGTTCTGTTTATATGCTGGATTACATTTATTGATTTGCGTACGTTGAACCAGCCTTGCATCCCAGGGATGAAGCCCACTTGATCATGGTGGATAAGCTTTTTGATGTGCTGCTGGATTCGGTTAGCCAGTATTTTATTGAGGATTTTTGCATTGATGTTCATCAGGGAGATTGGTGTAAAATTCTCTTTTTTTTGTTGTGTCTCTGCCAGGCTTTGGTATCAGGATGATGTTGGCCTCATAAAATGAGTTAGGGAGATTCCCTCTTTTTCTATTGATTGGAATAGTTTCAGAAGGAATAGTACCAGCTCCTCCTTGTACCTCCAGTAGAATTCGGCTGTGAATCCATCTGGTCCTGGACTTTTTTTGGTTGGTAGGCTATTAATTATCATCTCAATTTCAGAGCCTGCTATTGGTCTATTCAGGGATTCAACTTCTTCCTGGTTTAGTCTTGGGAGAGTGTAAGTGTCCAGGAAATTATCCATTTCTTCTAGATTTTCTAGTTTATTTGCATAGAGGTGTTTATAGTATTTATTTAGAAAACCCCATCGTCTCAGCCCCAAATCTCCTTAAGCTGATAAGCAACTTCAGCAAAGTCTCAGGATACAAAATTAATGTGCAAAAATCACAAGCATTCTTATACACTAGTAACAGACAAACAGAGAGCCAAATCATGAATGAAATTCTATTCACAATTGCTTTAAAGAGAATAAAATACCTAGGAATCCAACTTAAAAGGGATGTAAAGGACCTCTTCAAGGAGAACTACAAGCCACTGCTCAGTGAAATAAAAGAGGACACAAACAAATGGAAGAACATACCATGCTCATGGATAGGAAGAATCAAGATTGTGAAAATGGTCATACTGCCCAAGGTAATTTATAGATTCAATGCCATCCTCATCAAGCTACCAATGAGTTTCTTCACAGAATTGGAAAAAACTGCTTTAAAGTTCATACGGAACCAATAAAGAGCCCGCATTGCCAAGACAATCCTAAGTCGAAAGAACAAAGCTGGAGGCATCACACTACCTGACTTCAAACTATACTACAAGGCTACAATAACCAAAACAGCATGGTACCGGTACCAAAACAGAAATATAGACCAATGGAACAGAACAGAGTCCTCAGAAATAATACCACACATCTACAGCCATCTGATATTTGAGAAACCTGACAAAAACAAGAAATGGGGAAAGGATTCCCTATTTAATAAATGGTGCTGGGAAAATTGGCTAGCCATAAGTAGAAAGCTGAAACTGGATCCTTTCCTTACTCCTTATACGAAAATTAATTCAAGATGGATTAGAGACTTAAATGTTAGACCTAATACCATAGAAACCCTAGGAGAAAACCTAGGTAATAGCATTCAGGACATAGGCATGGGCAAGGACTTCATGTCTAAAACACCAAAAGCAATGGCAACAAAAGCCAAAATTGACAAATGGGATCTCATTAAACTAAAGAGCTTCTGCACAGCAAAAGAAACTACCATCAGAGTGAACAGGCAACCTACAGAATGGGAGAAAATTTTTGCAATCTACTCATCTGACAAAGGGCTAATATCCAGAACCTACAAAGAACTCAAACAAATTTACAAGAAAAAAACAACCCCATCAAAAAGTGGGCAAAGGACATGAACAGGCAGTTCTCAAAAGAAGACATGCATACAGCCAACAGACACATGAAAAAATGCTCATCATCACTGGCCATCAGAGAAATGCAAATCAAAACCACAGTGAGATACCATCTCACACCAGTTAGAATGGCAATCATTAAGAAGGAAACAACAGGTGCTGGAGAGGATGTGGAGAAATAAGAACACTTTTACACTGTTGGTGGGATTGTAAACTAGTTCAACCATTATGGAAAACAGTATGGCGATTCCTCAAGGATCTAGAACTAGAAGTACCATATGACCCAGCCATCCCACTACTGGGTATATACCCAAAGGATTCTAAATCATGCTGCTATAAAGACACATGCACACGTATGTTCATTGCGGCACTATTTACAATAGCAAAGACTTGGAATCAACCCAAATGTCCATTAGTGACAGACTGGATTAAGAAAATGTGGCATATATACACCATGGAATACTATGCAGCCATAAAAAAGGATGAGTTTGTATCCTTTGTAGGGACACGGATGCAGCTGGAAACCATCATTCTCAGCAAACTATCTGAAGAACAGAAAACCAAACACTGCATGTTCTCACTCATAGGTGGGAACTGAACAATGAGATCACTTGGACTGGGGAAGGGGAACATCACACACCGGGGCCTATTATGGGGAGCGGGTAGTGGAGAAGGATTGCACTGGGATTTATACCTGATGTAAATGACGAGTTGATGGGTGCTGACGAATTGATGGGTGCAGCACACCAACATGGCACAAGTATACATATGTAACAAACCTGCACGTTGTGCACATGTACCCTAGAACTTAAAGTATAATTAAAAAAAAAGTTACTGTGATCAAGAGATCCAACATACTCCTGAAGAATGGAAAATGCAGGTTTGCCATGAAAGATGGTATTACGTGGTTTAACAAAATTTGAAGAGCAATTCCGAGTTATCCTCACGACAGTGTACAGGCTGGTAATGCTCACGTCCAGCGTGTTTTCTCACTGTGAGCGTTCGATGGACCAGAAGGAAGCAAGTGGAGCTTCAGGGTGCAAGTGGAGGTGGTGCTGGGTAGCGCAGCAGGGTCACAGGAATCGACCATGTCTGGAGAAATTCCTCGTGTCAATTATGCCAAACGAGGAAGTGTTGAGGACAGCCAAATCAGGGATATGTAATTCATGAAAAAGCTGTGTAATTTAAATACTCATAATTTATTTCAGCTAACGAATAAAACTGCAGTACTGCACTTGCTACATCTGGGAACTAACCACCCATTGCGGCTGAAACCTCAGGCTTTTTTTAAAGGAGCGGCGCGAGGACTTGTGGGAAATGTAGTCTGCACTTTCTGAGGAAGCGGCGCGAGGGCTTGTGGGAAATATAGCGTGCACTTTCTAAGGGAGCGGCGCGAGGACTTGTGGGAAATGTAGTGTGCACTTTCTGGTCCCAGTAGCCGGAGCTGCTTCGGGCCTTCTGCGCGTGAACGCCGTATGGCTCCAGGTTTGTTTTTCTCCCCCCGCAGCCTGAGTGGGAGGGCTCCCGGCATTTCCGCGTCGGGGTAGAGGACGTGGAGGGTGAGTAAGGGAGGGCTGGGGCGAGGGTGGACTGGAGGTTCTGCGCGGCCTGGGGGTGGGAGAGAGAGAGAGAGCGGCTTTGCCGCCTGGTCTGGGTCCGAATCCTGCTTTGGTTCTTGTGCTCCCGAAGGGAACGCGCACGTCCCGCGCCTGTGACAAGTGAGGTTGGATTTTCTCTTGCCTGAGGTGAAGGATGCCCGGAGGCCTGGGCAGGACGGCGCGGAAACGGGCCTTCTGCCCAGTGGATGTGCGCTTCTCTCCTTATTCTTTTCCCTCGGAATCGGAATCTCGCTGTGGCCTCGCAACCACCTGTGGTCGGCGTCGCCGCGTTGTCACTGCGATGCCTATGCGAGCGGGGTGGCGGGAAGCACCCGCGGGGCGGGGAGGGAACCTGCAGGCTCGGACTCCACACCTAGCCTCAGCCCAGCGTCATCCAGCTTGCTGTGTCCTCGCAGGTCGCAGCTTCATGGCCTGACGCCTTCAGGAAGTATTTTGAAGTCATCGTGGCTGTGGATTGGGGAATTTCTTGTTTCCACTGACCTGTGAGGCCGCGCACGTGGAGGGAAGTACCCCGGAGCCTCCGGCACTGTGCAGCCTGGCCTTTGTCCCCACTAGCACCAGTGGGCATTTCCGGAGGGTCTAGCTGGTGGCTCAAGTGACAGGAAGATGTAGGAGCTTTCAGTCTTGGATAAGGGTTCGAACTGAAGGGCTTAGGCCCAGCAGTCTTGGAGCAAAGCGGCTGTTGTGGGGTAAGAAAAGAAGGGTAGGGGGCGAGGGCTCAGGGGCCCTCCTAGGAGGACACCCGACCAGTTGGGCTGAGACCTCATTAGAGATCTAGAGCACGGGTGGGAGGAGCAGAGGCTCGATTTGTGTCCTGTCCAGACTCCCACAGGCTGGGTGATGGTGGGAGCTTTGTGCTCATTCAGATGTAGCGGCAGAGGAGGGCAAGGCCGAAGGAGCAGACAGCACTACTTCTTGGGGAGTTGTGAAGGCATCATGAGGAGGGAGGAGCTTAGCAGCCAAGTGGACGAGAGCACCCTCCATGCCTGGATTCGTTACTTGCTCGTTCTAGATGCTGAACTGCTGGCGCACTGCAGCACAACTAGAGATGTACGGATGCCCCCATCTTGATCTTACGGAATCAGAGCTGCAGCCGCAAGAAAGTTTTCTGTTTCGGCTTTATTTAAAAGATGGGGTGGGGTGGGGTAGACAGGAAACAAGCTTAACGTGTTAAGTGACTGATGACATTGACACATTTTGTTTGGCAGAGTCAAGAACAGACGCTAAATCGCTTGAGGACCCAGGAGGGTGTTTGCTGCTTTGACAACAGAGTAAGTAAAAATCATTGTGCTTTTTTAAATCTAAAGATGGTTTTGAGAATCTGAAACCAAGTTAGAGCAAGTTCGTTTTTCTTCCCAAAAAACTGGGCTGGGCCGGGCGCGGTGGCTCATGCCTGTAATCCCAGCACTTTGGGAGGGTAAGGCGGGCGGATCACGAGGTCAGGAGTTCGAGACAAGCCTGGCCAACATGGCAAAACCCCGTCTTTACTAAAAATACAAAAAATTACCCAGGCGTGGTGGTGCGCACCTGTAGTCCCAGCTACTTGGGAGGTTGAGGCAGGAGGTTGCAGTGAGCCGAGATCATGCCATTGCACTCCAGCCTGGGCAACAGGGCAGGATTCTGTCTCAAAAAAGCAAACAACAACAACAAAAAACTGGGCTGAAAAATACCACATCACTTTTTTCAAAACTTTGTTGGGATACTCTGGTTTATAATAAAGATTAAAACTTGTGTATTTTTGTTTAGCATCAGTTTTAATGAAAGTATTATGTTCCATTCTTTGGCTTTTCCTAACTTGCTTAATTAGTTTATTGCTTTGCATACTCTGTTAGAGTACAACGTAAGTTGTTTATGAATCAGTAGAAAACAAAACGTTTTTACATTTGAAAACTAATGTGTCCAAGCAGTACATAATCATGCCAGTCATGCACGGGTCTGTGAGTATCTCTCTTTCAGAGATGTTTTGCCAGCTGCGAAGTGGACCTTTTTAGGCAAGTGACATCTCTCATGATCTTTTCTTATTTCTCAGCTATACCCTCACAGTTTGCTCTGCTCTTCCAACACCAGTGGAAGATGATCACATCCCAGGTAAGTTGTTTATTTTTTCACAGTTTTGCTTAAAAGTAATTATTGAGGTTTTAAAAATGTCTCTATATTCATATGAAAGTAGAAATAACATCAGGGAAAATATAGAGGAGAGGTCACATTACAGTTCGTGGGTCAAATGCAGCCTGCTGCCTGTTTTTTTATGGTCCGCAAATGAAGGATAGTTTTTATATTTTTAGGTGGCTGGAGGGAAAAAAACCAAGAGTATTATTTTGCTTGGAAATTGTATGAAATTCAGATTTTGTTATCTATAAAGTTTTATTGGGACTCAGCTATACTCATGTATTTATGTATTGTCTGTTGGTACTTTCACAGTACGAGGGCAGAGTTGACTGGTTGCAGCAGAGACTAATGGCCCACAAGCCTAAAATATTTACTGTGAGACCCTTTACAGAAAATGTTTGCTGATTTCTGATAGAGAGTTGATGAAGAGTAAGACAAAAATGTCATGTTAAGGGAATGCAGATCTTGTGATCTCACAGAGTTGTGAAACTGGAACATAAAACACTTTAAAGGTCAATGGGCTTTATTAGGTGACATTGTGAAACTTCCGATGACAGTCTTTCAGTTACATAAAGAAGTAGTACAACAAAGTGAATAATTCATGTGCAGTCCAGGGGAAAACTTAAGAGATAGCAAGAGAAAGTATGTGATAAAAAAATTCAAATAGGCCGGGCTAGGTGGCTCACGCCTGTAATCCCAGCACTTTGGGAGGCCGAGGCGGGTAGATTACGAGGTCGGGAGTTTGAGACCAGCCTGACCAACATGGTGAAACCCCGTCTCTACTAAAAATATAAAAATTAGCTGGGCATTGTGGCGTGCACCTGTAATCCCAGCTAGTCAGGAGGCTGAGGCAGGAGAATCGCTTGAACCCAGGAGGCGGAGAGTGCAGTGAGCCGAGATTGTACCACTACACTCCAGCCTGGGCGACAGAGTGAGACTCCGTCTCAAAAAAAAAAAAAAAAATTCATATGAATTATGTAGCATTAGGACTTATGGTTGTTTAAAGAAACAGTCCTGGTAGGCTAGGGTGATCGTGGGTTGTTAGGATGTGGCAGGCTTTGTGACAGCCCTAGAGACTGGGCAGAACTGGAATATTTGCAATAACTTTCAAGGGATTCTACCTAAAAAAAATAATTATGGTAAAATACACATCACATGGAAATTGACAATTAAGCCATTTTAAAGTATAGAATTCAATGACTTTAGTACATTCACAGTGTTGTACAACCATAACCACCATTTATTTCTGGAATATTTTCATCACACCCAAAGGAAACACAGTACCCTTAATAAGCAGTGTTGTAACTTAATAAGCAGTTGCTCCCTTTTTCCCCTCTGCTCCCAGCCCCTAGCAACAGGTTGCAGTAGAGACTGTAATGGCCCACACACCTTTTTGTTTAAATGCTATTGTAATTGGAATTGTTAATTTCCTTTTTGACTGTGCATTGTAATGAGTACAGAACTAATTTTTGAGTAATCTTGTATCCTGTAATTTTGCTGAATTTGTTTCCTATTTGTAGGAGTTTCTTTGTGGATTCTTTAGTATTTTCTGCATATACGATCATGTCCTCTGCAAACAAAAATATTTTCTTTCTTTCCAATTTGGGTGTATTTATTTGTTTAATCTAATTGTTGTGGCTGGAATTTTTAGTACAATGTTGAATATATGTGGCCAAAGCAGGAATCTTTATTTATCGTTAGTTTTTTGTTTTAGCAGTCTTAACCATTTTGGGATGTACAATTCAGAAGCAGTGTGATGTATATTCATATTGTACATCTAATCTCCAGAATTTTTTCATCTTGGGAAATTGAAATTCTGTACCCATTAAGCAATAACTCCCCATTTTCCCCTCCTCCTTGCCCCTGGCAGCCACCATCCTGCTTTCTGTTCTGTGAGTTTCACTACTTTGGTATGTCTCATTTAAGTGAAATCATACAGTATTTGTCTTATTGTGACTGGCTTATTTCACTTAGCATAATGTCCTCAAGCTTCCTCAGTGTTGTAGCATGTGTCAGAATTTATCTCCTTTTTAATGCTGAATGATATTTCATTGTACCCATGTTTTGTTTATTCATTCATCTTTCAGTGGACATTTGGATTCCTTCCTCCTTTTAACTGTTGTAAATAATGTTACTGTGAACATAGGTGTACAGCTATCTCTTTGAGATCCTTTTTTCAGTTCTTTTAGTTATATACTCAGAAGTGGTATGGCTGGAATCTATGGTAATTCTATTTTTAGTTTCTTGAGGAAACACCAACTTGTTTTCTACAGAAGGTGCACCATTTTACAGTCCCATCCTCAGTGTACAGTGCACCATTTTACAGTCCCATCCTCAGTGTACAGGATTCTGATTTCTGCATATCCTTGCCAACACTTGTTATTTTCTTTTGTTGTTTTGATAGCAGCCGTTGTAATGGGTGTATGGTAATTGTTCGTTGTGATTTTGATTTATATTTCCCTCATGATTAGTGATGCTGAGCATATTTTCATAAGCTTGTTGACCATTTGTATATCTTTTATGGAGAAATGTCTGTTCAAGTCCTTTGTCCATCTTTGAATCTGGTTTTTTGTTTGTTTTGAGTTGTAGTGGTTAATTTTTTTTAATATTAATTCCTCATCAGATACATGAATTGCAAATATTTCTTCCTGTTGTGTTGGTTGCCTTTTCATTCAGTTAACCATGTCCTTTAATGCACAATTTTTAAGTTTGATGTAGTCCAATTTATTTTTACTACTGTTGCCTGTGGTTTTTGATATTATATCCAAGAAAACATTACATTGCCACATGTAATGTCAAGAATCCATTCTCCTATGTGCTCTGCCATGAGTTTTGTAACTTTAATTTTGGTTCTTAGATTTAGGTCTTTGATTCATTTTGAGTTTTATTTTTTATTTATTTATTTATTTATTTAGTTTTGTTTTGCATGTGGCTATCCTGTTTTTCCAACACTATTTGTTAGAAAAAATGTCCTTTCCCTATTGACTGTTCTTGACAACTTTGTTGAAAATCATTTTACCATACATGCATGGGTTTTCAAGATTATTTTGACTACTTGAGATCCCTTGAAATTTCATGTAAACTTCAGGATGATTTATTTCTATTTCTGTTACTATGTCTCCTTTGTAGACTGACCTTTTTTTTTTTTTTTTTAAATCAATATGTAATGTTTTTCTCTTGTAACAATTGTTGACTTAAAGTCTCTTTTGTCTCAATATAGCCACCCTGGCATTCTTTAGGTTACTATCCTCTTCTGTCATTTCAATTTCAACCTACTGTGTTGTGTATTTGTATCTAGAGAGTGTCTTATAGACTATATATAGGTAGATCATATATTTATATTAATTTTGCCAATTTCTGTTTTTTTTTTTTTTTTTTTCCTTTTTTTTGAGACAGAATCTCACTGTGTCACCCAGGCTGGAATGCAGTGGTGTGATCTTGACTCTCTGCAACGTCAGCCTCCAGGGTTCAAACAATTCTTCTGCCTCACCCTCCTGAGTAGCTGGGATTACAGGTGCACACCATGATGCCTGGCTAATATATATATATATATATATATATATATGTGTGTGTGTGTGTGTGGTTTTTTTTTTTTTTTTTTTTTTAGTAGAGACAGGGTCTCACCATATTGGCCAGGCTGGTCTCAACCTCCTGACCTCATGATCTGCCTGCCTCGGCCTTCCAAAGTGCTGGGATTACAAGTGTGAGCCACCATGCCCAGCCTATGTTGCCAATTTCTGTCTTTTAGTTGGGAGTTTAGTTTATTTACATTTAGAGTGAATGATAAACTGATAAAGGACTTATGCCATTTTGCTAGTTATTTTCCATATGTATTACATCTTTTTTGTTTTCAGTTTTTCTGTGTGTGCCTTTTTTGTGTTTTTTTTTTCTAATGTGCCATTTTAATTCATTTTGTATTTCTTTGTATTCATTATTTACCTAGTGTTAATACTTAGAATTGCAATTAACATCTTGAATTTATAACAATCTAGCTTGCATTAATACCAACTGAGCCTTAATATTATATAAAAACACTGGTCCTATATAGCTTTGTCCCTGTCCTTTGTCTTCTTATTGTGACATTTTATGCCTTCATAAATTGTGTGCACATTACCATAGATGTATAATTATTGTTTTATGTATATGTCTTTTAAATCGTACAGAAAAAAGAGAGAACATAAAAGCCAAGAATACAATAAGACTGGCTTTTGCATTTACTTATAGTAGTTACTTTTACCATTTGAATATTTTGTGTGTTTGCATTGGAATTACTGTCTAGTGTCCTTTTGTTTCAACCTGAGGGACTTCCTTTTGCATTTCTTGTAGGATAGGTCTAGTACTAGTATGTTTTCTCAGATTCTGTTGATCTAGGAATGTTTTAATTTCTCCTTCCTTTTTGAAAAGTAGTTTTGCCTAATGTAGAATTTTTGTTATTTTTTTTTTCTTTTGGCACTTTAAAGGTGCCATTATCCTACTGCCTCTGGCCTTCATGGTTTCTGATGAAAGACTGTCTGATAATCTTATTTCAGGTCCTTTGTACATGGTTAGTCCCTTATCTCTTGCTACTTTCAAGACTCTTTGTCTTTTAACAATTTATTATTTCTCTCAGTTTGAAGTTCTTTGATGTTATCCCAATTATAGTTTCTTGAGAGTCTTGGACATAGAGATTCATGTCTTTCATCAGTTTGGAAGGTCTTCAGACGTTATTTCTTAAGATATTTTTTGGTTCCCTTTTCTCCTCTTTGTCGGTAACTCTTGTTATTAACTTGTGGGTATGCTTAATGTTGTCTCATGGATCTCTTAGGCACTGTCCATTTTTCACCATTCTTTTTCTCTGCTCCACAGAATGAGTGATCTCCATCAGTGTCTTCAATTTTGCTGATTGTTCTCTTTGAGCTCCAATCTGTTACTGAATCCTTCTACTGATTTTTAAAAATTTTAGTTGTTGTACTTGTCAGCTCCAGACAGTCCTAATTACA